GGGGAGGGGGCCCAAGAATATTATACCACTTGTTGATGACGTTTTTAATACACACTTTGAGAAACACTTTATTATTTAGTTTTATAAAGCCTTTTAGCATTATCCAGAGAGTACTGCAAGGAGGCAGCTTTTATTACTTCCCAAAAATGTATTGTGTATTTTTACATAAGTAAAAATTTGTCATTTATTACAACATGTGTTAAGAATAAAAAAATGGATTTGTGTCAAGAATATTATAAATTCAAAAAAAAAAAAAACAATTAATGTAAAAATATAATTATTATAAATAATTTTAAGTAAGTGTATACTTAAGTATGTACAATAAAAATGTGGTTAAAAAGTGCTATACTATTTTTGGGCGAAAAATGAAAGTAGTTTTAAAATATTCGGACGAAAAGAGACGTAGGCGAAAAACGAAAGGTCATTTTTGAGCAAACGGGATCTTATTATTTATAACTCATTTGATTCGGTCCATATCCTTAGATAGATAGGAATGTAAAAATACAAATTCCTACATAAGTAGTAGGTGTACTGGTTCTTAGACAATATTTAATAATGCGAGGTTAATCGATGGAGACAAATAGTTAAGTGTTGCATTTGATGCGGTATAGTATTGTTAATATTAAAATAATAGAAACATTATATATATTTATAACTTTATAATAATTTAACTGACTTATGATAACTGATTAAATATAAACATCAATATGAATTTGATGAAAACAAAATCAATCATACTACAGGAAAGAACGCTATCCACAGGGACGACTTCAAAGACTTGGTTAGGGAGAAGCTACATTATAATATCCAAATATCCATAATAATATATTATATCATAATATATTTTATATTATTATAATTTATTTACACTTTATAGATAAGTGGTTCTTATTTCTTAACCAAAATATAACGGTGATAAAATAATGAGAATTTTGTTGTTAAAATAATTATGCCATTTTACAATCAGTAAAATTAAAGACAATAAATTAATTTTCAAATGGTTGCCCATCGATAACTATTTTACGAGTATTTTATAATGAATGACCTCTGGGCAGGTAATTTAATATTGATATCATGCATGACGTACAGCTATCGCCTATCTGTAGGCCTTCGATAAGGAATATTGGAATTCAAATATAAACCAAATAATGCATTGAAATATTAGTGTCTAGACATAGAAATATTTTTAAAATTATGAAAAAATAAATTTCATTATTTGTATAATATATAGTCATTTTGTATCACTAAACTAAAAAAAAAGATGTTTTTAACTGTAAATTAAGGACCGCGTAGAATATATAAAGGTTATAACCTTTTCTATAGGAACCATTGGCAAAAATAATAGAAACATACCCTTAACAATACATTCGTATGTGCCTACAATAGTTGAAATATAATATGGTTTTTTTTTTTTTGTTGTTGTATTTTGTTTTTGACAATGTATAGTTATTTAGAAATACTACAGATTTGGGGGTTCCTAGAGTCCCTCTGGCACCTCCCATGTAGTGTTGTCTCTTTTTTACAAACGTACAGCTTTCAAATTTGAGTTCAGCAGAACTCATTTTGTGTTATTAGTTTAAATATTAGAGTGAATTTAATCTATTATCAATTATAAATATCAGAATGTGTTTAAACATCGGCTATTTTTGGTATTTTAATTTTTAAGCGAGATATGATAATAGGTATGTGAAATATTACAAATGCTCACAGTTCGTTTAAAAATTAAAACATTGCAAAAATGCTGTCGTTCAAGAATTAATAATTATGTTCTTACCTTTTGATTATAAGACAATAATTCACTTTAATGTATAATCTGACAATGCAAAATTGGTTCTGCTGAACTTAAGTTTAATATTTTTTACGATTGTCAGACGAAGGAACACACGCATGGGTGGTAGCATATGCTTAAGTGTCGTATGTTTAAAAATATTTTTTCTTATATCTATTGTTTTAAATTATAATCATAAGTATGTTTATAATATTAACAAATCAAAATGTTTATTTATTTGTATATTACAGATACCAATAATAAACTTAGCTATATCTGCCTTTTTGTGCGCATTGATAGCTTTATTCTTCGATTTGGAAAAATTAGTTGAATTTATGTCAATCGGAACATTGTTAGCCTATACTATTGTCAGTGCTTCAGTAATAATATTAAGATATCGTCCTACCAACCGTGGTCTAGTACGTGATTCTAGTAGTCTCTTAGAACTTCCTACTTCACAGGCAGACGTAAGCATAAATTTAATAATATATTGTTATTAAGGACACAGTACTTAAGGTTATAAATTAAAACTGATTTACAATTTTCAGTCTTTTGAAATGGACATGGGAGGACGCCTAAAACCATCTTATAAGTTTCTAGAACCTTTTCTAGGAGATTTTGAACCTGGTTACATAGTTTGTGTAAGTATTGGTTGGTTTACAAGTTCCACTGTCATCTTGTGCGTTTATATCCAATATTGGTTTAATATTCAACACGTGAGTTGGATCGACGGGATTGTTTTAACAGCCTTGGGCAGCGATTTACTTTTATGTACGTATAAAACAGATAAGATTACCATATTTTGCAATAAATAGAATTACAAAATAAGTATAATATATTTTACATATAATAAATTATATAAATTGTGTATGTTAAGTATATTATAAACGCATTATACTGAATATCTAAAATGTTTTTTTATAAGTAAATTTTAGTTTTGTCTGTTCACGTAGGTATTAGCATTGATATATTTCTAAAAACATCGATTTGCACATTGCACTAGTATTTAAATTTAACGTTTTTTTAATTTATGAAAAATATATAGGTATATACTTCTATGATAACGATAAAAAAAATATGCATAATACTATGATTTATTTTAGGTCAATTTCTGATTGAAGCTCATGAACAAAATTCAACAGAACTACCATTTATGGTACCCCATGTGCCTTTAATACCATCTCTTAGTATCGTGTGCAATATCGTGTTGATGACTAATCTTAATTTGCTTACTTGGATACGGTTTTTCATATGGATGGCTATTGGTAAGCTAAAAACTACCGTTTTATAATTTTATGTACCTAATATAATATATTTCATAATAATATACATGTCAACATGTTTATCGTTTATAGGTTTATTGATTTATTTCTTATACGGAATACACCACAGCAAAGAAAATGACGTGACATCTTATTCAGTATTGCTCTCGTCTTCTGAAGCAGGAAAGACACCTTGGGGAACTATAAACAAGTCCAGAAAACGAGTGAAAACCGAAGACGACCGGAAACCAATTATTGACAACGAAGAACTTGCAGACAATGGTTATTACCACTAAGCAAATTATAGACGATCCGCTAAAATCATTGTTATGTATAGTGAGGTGTTTCATCGTGTTGCTGAAAAATATTCGTGGAAGGGTGCCATTCATTATATAATATGTTTGTGTGTAATAAAAATAAATAGTATTAATAATGGCCGTTTAAAACTGTGCATGTTGTTTTTAGTATTCTTTTAGGTCTTTAAACCATTATACAATGGAACGTTTGAATGTTTTGAACGATAACGTATTATTTTTCATTTTTGTTTTAACTTAAAAAGTTCTTACATTGTTAAAAAGATCTTTTACCAAATGATTAATTGACAATCGTCGTTCGTGAAAATTGTTTGATATAGCACAATGTGTATAGAATAACTAAATAATATGAACATTTATTTATGTACTGTGTGCTATTTGCAAATACTCATGTATTAATTAATTATTATTAAATGCTTTATAAAATATTTCTTATGTCGTAGTCGTTTATGAAACGATAAATCGATAAATTGTGTTATGAAGTGTGTTTGTACATTTAGATAATCGTTCAAATGTATACGGTATCAAAAAAAAAAAAAAAAAAACACACTTAGATAATAACATCACATTTATTATTTACCAGATAATTATGAATATTATTATGAAATTAAATTACTTTAATGCATCTCAATCTGGAGTGGCACCCTTTAGTTGTACAAATAAATAATAAGATTATGATTATTAACCATCCTATATGTTACATGCATTTTTGACAATTATTTATTTTTAGTTTTTAACTTAATTTTATTTTAAAAACAATTTAGTGTAAAATTGTTTTTTTTAACGCACATTTTATGCTTTGTTATGACTTATGAGTCTATAATATATATTATATTTATAGTATACCTATATAATTTATTGTGTAAGACTTCTACTTATCTTATCATACATGTTTTTAAGTTGTTCCAGAAAAATTTAATCTAGACGAATTTGTGTTTATAGTACATTTTAAATGTTAGTCTACATTGTATAGGGATTATCAAGTTAATTGTATGACGAAATAGAAATATCGTTATGAGTAGCCTCAAAGAAGTAATGACATGTAATAAAAAATATGTTTAGTAACATTATAAAGGATACAAAATAAATGAATGTTAATATAATATATATTATGTTTAATCTCGGTTTATAATTTTTTTAAATCAAATATCTCGTCATTGACTAAGCAATTTTAACGGGCGGGTGTGTACATTTTAATTTAATGACATAAAACATTATGTGTGCGGAAAATGGAGTCGAACAAAGGAAACTGGTGTATTATAGTATTTATAGTATCTATTAGGTACTAAAGATACTTAATCGTTTGTTATGTTTTTTATGCTATTAAATAGTGTTCTTTACTTATTTTATAATATTACGCTTAAAAAAATCATCTGTTGTTTTTTTTTTCAGAAACGCAGATTAAAAATGGCAGAATAAGGCAATTGAGGGGAAAAAAAGTTAACATATTTAAACCATAATATAAGCTGATTATTTTGTACAGACTTTTTTTGGACTCAATTGTATACAACATCTCAATATGAAATACACTACATTTGATCTTGAAACAGTATTTAAATTATTTTCGGATCAAAGTAATAATAAAAAAAAAAAATATTCAAAATTGGATAAAATGTTACGAATGTTATTGTATATAGTATAAACGCACAAAGTATATAAATGTTCGCATTATTTTTTTTATTTTATTCTCGAATAAACTAAATTTGGTTTATTCTATACAAAATATGTATAGTAACGTCTTGTCTACAAGTGTGTACATTACTATAGATGTTTAGCAATAGTTATAGTCAATAAACTCCATCTGTTCTTTTTTCTTCCGTTGTCGTGGATGATGGTTCTTCTGTCGTTTTAGTTTTTCTAGTCCAAATAATTGTTCTACGATGATGGCTTTTCGGTGTAACTGTTTCATCAGTTGGCGAGACAGTTATATTGGACATTGTTGTAGTATTAGACGTGATATCGGACGACGATGAGGCTTCAGTAGTCTGTTATTAAATACATTGTATTAGTTTTGAGCCTAGCCAGTTTAGTCAACGAGGAAACATGGTGGTTCTTCGTTGACTAAACTGGTGTGTTTGTACTAAAAACTTTGTTTTGTAAGCAACACGGTGATACCCTGTCGTCGTATCATACAATAACTGTGTAAATTATGTTCTTAAGCTTATTATTAAAAGTGATTACATTTTTTTTTTTTTATTATTATTTACTACAGTATATTTAATAATTAACAACACTTATTACTTACAATTGAAATTGTAAAGTGTAAGTAATAGTTTTACCAAAATAGCAACAGTGTTTTTAGTTATAAACCAGTTTTATTACCTACAAATAGGCTATAATTTTACCACTGTATAGTAGGTAGTTATTAAGTGCTAATGCTTAAGTATAATATAACAATTATTAATTTCCATAAATTATATTTAATAATAAAAATTCTTCAATTTACACCGTCGACGGTTTACCTTGGACATTGTAGTCGTGATGACGTATAATTGTTAAATTTCCATTTTAAATAACAGGTTCCTAACTCTGTGAATCAACTATAGTTACATTTAAAATTTAAATTAGCTTATTATTAAATACGTATCTAAATTCAATTTATTTTGTCAGAATTATCAGTGATCGATTTATATAAAAAAAAAAAACAATAACCCATTATTGCAATTTTGTTTCAAGTTGTAAATATATAACTATATCTACCTAACAAACCTAAAATTATAATAAAATATACAAATTATACACAGAGGTCAGAGTGTAATATGAATATAAATATATCAACGTTTGTTCAAAAAAAATAACATTCTTTTATAGATGATATAAAATTGACAATCATAATACCATTTAATATTTATTAAATAAGAATAATAGTTATTACATAGTTCGTTAATCGTATCTGTCAGTTTTTTAGGTTAAATTTACCTAATACAATTTAGATGTGTATATATGTATATACAACTTGGGCGCTATTTAATGCATAAGTATGTGGCTGCATGTCATTTTTATAATTGATAAAATTGACAAAAATATTTTTTTCTCCTTAAAAATGATTAACTTATTGAGTACATACTTGATAATGTAAATAGCATGTTACTTAAATAACTACACAAGTATCAATAATTTCTAAATTATTTATCTCAAGGTTATATTTTGGTCTCTATAGTTATATTTATAAAATTATTGATATCCACTACTCATTACCTTATTTTTTTAAGTACAAATATTCATTAACAATTACTTATCAAAGATGAATGATAAAAAATATTCTATTTCATGATAAGAACTCTACTGATTGTATTTGTCATTTGACACTTCATCGAGTATAAAAAATGTAAATCAATGACATTAAAAATGAAAAACATTACGTAAACTTCCAAAATTAGAACAAACATTTTTTAACTTTTATTGATTAATTATTTAGAGATAATATAAATTGTATATTTGTATGTATCATATTATATATATTAATACTTTCGGCGTATCATATATATTATACTAATATGATGAAGTTATCCTTTTTCTGATATGCCTGATTTCTTTGTTATCTATATAATTATTTAATTTTGTGTTAAATTTGATTTTGATACATACACATAAAAATTGTAATTCTGTACTTACCTTTTCCATTTATATTTTATCATTTTAAAATTGTATATTTTGGTATTGATGCTTATAATATATTACTATTCTAATCTGGTTAATATGCATATTAAATAACTTAAATAGTATAAATATATATATATATATATACAAAATAATAGGTGTCTATACCTATATTATAAATGGCTTATTCAGATAAATTATATTTTAAGTACTTAAACAGTATTAATAAACTTTGAGAGATTAAAGTCTAATGGATTCTAACATTAAACTACAGTAATAAATTATTTCAATGTAATAAATCAGCGGTTTTTAAACTATTGTACACGTTTTCTAGGAGTTTACGAAACTCATATGTCGACGTCCGCGAGAACTTTACCAGTGGTTCCAGTCTGGACACATAACGTGAGATTATATCTTGTAAAAAATAAAAGGTACCTATTCAAAAGAAATTTGGTATAAGGAAGAGTCTGCGATACTTAAAAGTCTTTCATATGGAGTCCATGTATTACAAAAGTTTAAGGACCGCTGATTTAGATGATATTATTTAAGTTTAATTACCGTATCAACATCATTAAACACGCCACGAATTGAACCAACAGTGGATTCAATACAGCAATAAATGACTAATACTCCGACCTATAATTACAAACATGATTAAAATTAAAACTACAATTTTGAAAATATAAATTAAAATAATATTTACTAATAGTCGAATATGATTTTTTGAAACAATCATATTGTATAATAAAATTTGAATAGTATACGTCTTATTTAAATAAAATACGAAATGAAAATAAATGATAAAACAATAACTATATTTTATTGGAAACGTTATTAGCTCAATGAAATAATAACACTCAAAAGTAATCTGATAATTACTTCAAAGCGAAGTGTCATTTTAAAAGTACTTACCTTTATGATGTGATAAAGAAATGAAATCATTATGATAGGAAAATACTTTAATATAAATATAAATATAATTATCATATAAATTAATTAACTTAGTGACTATAATGAACTAATAGTCTTGGTGTTACCGTGATATTTTTGAACTATCTTACTACAAACAAATAATATTCATGTAATAGTTTTCATTAAAACATTATATTTAACTAAAACACGAGATATTTAATTTAAATTATAATTTATATACGAGTACTTAAATAATATTACATCAACTTTTAGAACTCAACATTTAATAACATATTTCTGTAAATACTTGAATGTAAATAAATCAAAAATATCACTGCATAAAATAATGAAATTTGTGATAATTTAAAATATGTAAAAGTTCTAATAAGTTCCCATGAATAATGTTATTAATTTATAACAAAACAATTAACATCTTTGTTTGATAATTAAGTAATTTCGTTCAAATTTGAAATTAAAATCTCTGTAAAAAGTAATTGTTTTTAAATATTTTTAGATTTTATGGTTGATGATGAATTACTTAAGAGAAATTTCGTATCAAATTTTTAATAATTTTAATCTAATTTTTATCGTCATTTATAGAAAAATAATGAAAACAAATCGAAAATTTGAAATGACTAAAAATAACTCAAAGAGATAAAAAATGATGAACAATTTATGATGTATAATATAATGGAAACAGTAAAAAAAAAAAAAATATTTGGCGAAAATTTATTGAAACAAAAATCATTTGAGGATAAATAGTTATACGGACGAAAAGTCGTCGTAAGCATTGTAACTTCAAACGGTCATAAACAATTAACTTGACTTTTCGGTTGAATTTTTTTTTTCTAATATTAACACGTTAAAAGAACGTGCAAAGAACCCTGTATTAAATTTTTAAATCTTATTTATAAACAGATTATTTTTTATAAGTTTCTTACTTTTAACCACAAAATAATTTGTAATTTTACATAATTTGACGAATTTTATTGACAATATAAATTTAAATGCTTGTAAAAAAATATTATAACGATAAATGGTTGATGTCATTTTTTTTGGGAAATGAATCACTTATTAGGAAACCTTTTACTAAATTTTCAATCGTTTTTACCCATTCATAATTTTTTTTTTTTTTTATCTACATTTATAGAATAAAACTAAAAAAATAAAAATAAAAAATTTCAATGCCTAAAAATAGCTCAAAATAATAAATATATCTGTAATTCGAAAATAATACTTTATATAGAAATTTATAGTACAATTAATACTTGGTAAAAATTTCAAGTTTCTGCGATTATTAGATTTTATTATTTGATTTCTTTATATTTTATAATAAAAATAAAGAAATAAGTATAATAATCAAAAATTAGTTTATAGTGAAAGTTCTCGTTTTTCCTTAATTTTTTGGGTTTTTTTCCACCGCTTATTTTGAAAAATAATTTTGATCTTTTAATTTACAAACAAGATCCAATTTGTTATTCAAGACCACCATCAAAGTTGGAAATCAAAACATTTATCAGTTATTTATTGTGCATACAGACAATAAAAAACCGCATTGTAAAATCAATATACCTACATTTATCGCTGAATCTAAAAAATGCCAACGAACAACTGCACGTAGTGTTTCCAAGAAGTGTGTGAAAATTGTGTAAGATATACAAGGATAAAAAAAAATTAATTTATTCCCTGCAATGTTTATCTTCATGTGTCTGGATTATGGTCATGGTCTGGTGGCTACTAGGCCGTAACTACTGGTTATATAGCACTATACTTGGCATTCACCAAGAAACAGGAGTACTGGAATACTGGTAAATTTCATTTTTCTGAGCTTGATTTCAAAATAACAAAATATTTTCAGTGCTAATAATAAAATTAAAAAATAAATAAAATATAATTATATGTGGTGATTTTTTCGTTTAAAATAATATACGAATATTATTCGAAATTTTTAGAAATTGTTTTCATTTAAGAACTTTATACTTTATCATTAATTTTTCTCGTATATTTCGACTAAAATAAAACGAAAACAGGTCTCATTCAATAATTTTAGATATCTGCTGCAGTCAGCTCCTTCTGTGTACATTATGCATGTTCACCAATATTCTCAGCTTCTTTTTCCTGATGAACTTTTCAATTTTTCGTTTCTGAAATACATGTATATGTTAAACAAATAAAAAATATTTTTCGCGTTTTTTATTCTTATTTGATATAGTTTGATGAAGTTTGTAGATTGGTTTTTAAACTATTATATTATATTAATTGATAATATAATAAATGGGATATTTTAGTGTACAGTATATTATTACTAATTATTAATTAATATTTGAATAAAAAATAAAATTCACTTGGTACGTATAGTAATAATTATAATAAGGCTAACTAACCTCAACTCAAAATCGTTATTCATATGCAATGGTTTATCATTAAATTCAAATATAATACATCCAAATCCAAGGACATAATCAATTACAAGGTACATTCTATGCCTACTGTACATACAGAACGTTACCTTGTCCGCCTTTTGGTTTTAAAAATAATTTCTACGCAAGATAATGAACTTAATACATACAATTATACTCAATAGTTTATTGAGTCTAAAAATCAGAATACAAACTGCAGTCTCCAAATTATATTACCATATTATTATCATAATATCATATTTTATGAAATCGTGAAGCTTTTTAAAATGAATTTTTCTGAATGTGGCCCAAACTTATTTTTATTAAACACATAACCTCATTAATTTTGTATGCATTTAACATGCTTTTGTCAATTGCCCGCATCGTCTTTAAATTATGTATTATTATTATTTTCTTCATGTATTTAATTTCTAGTACAACTTAGATTTATTTACCTTTTAAAACGAATAGCCGTGGACTACTTTTTTTTTAATACTTTAATTATGTTTATTCATTTTTTTTTTTTGTTTCTTAAAATAATACACGCTGACGCCTTAGATTCCTTATCACTTTTTTCAACATTATACAAAATGTATTATTTATAATTTATATGCAACTTTATATTCTTTTTTTTAACCTTCAATTGCAGTAAGTTGAATTAATAACTTTTGAATTCTGATCGTATTTGTTTATTTAATTTTTTGACTTGCAGTTATTTAGTAAATAAACAGGTTAGGTAATTTCCGATTCTATTATAACATGACAATTAAAGTTAATTTTTTTTTTTTTATTCGTGGGTACCTGTTATTTAGTAAATAAACAGGTTAAGTAATTTCCGATTCCATTACAACATGATAATTAAGGTTAATTAATTTGTTTTTATTCGTGGGCACTTGTTTTATAGTCTCGTAAAATTTGAATATATTATAGGTATACTCAAGTTAATTTATTTTTTATATTTTCGCCAAATATTTGGAGGAGAGATTTAAGTTTAGGTCTAACCAATATTTACATGGCGTTATTTGGGGGGGGGGGAACTTGGGCATTTGCCATAGTCTAACATTTACATCAACCTTAAGTCGGCACATTTAAAAATTATAAGAAGTCTTATTTTTAACTACTATAGTCTATAAGTCCATTGTCATAAATCATAATATTGAATATTGATATTTTATAAATACATTATTAATCATTTTATCTACCAGTTACTGACTGATAACCGACCGACGTGCCGTATGCAAGTGGGCAGTTGGTATTTGGCTGTCATAAATTTAGATTTTAGACTGGCACATTGCAAAGTACCTACAAGACGCGTGGACAGCCGTGTGTACTGGTACAATGGTGTACAACTTTACTAATAAATAAGAATTATTATATTTTTAGAATAGCCAAAACAAAATAGTCAAATTACCGAACCATTTCAATAGGTACCCACATAAGAATCTTATAATATAAAACCAAAACGCGTTTCCGTTTTTTTCCGCCAGAGTGACCCTGCTTAGTGTACTGGCCAATATCAGATAAAACCTATTCACTAAATACATATTATACTTATTATACATACATATTATTATGATATAAATAATTATGTCTCATATTTTCCATTTTGGTTAATCGTCATAATCGTTGATCACAGCTCCTGAGTGGTATTTTGTATTTCTATAACTATTCGAAATTATTCAACGGATTATCATTATTTTACTTGATATTTTATATTATGAACAATAAACGTAAGGTTATTACGTTTCCAATAAAATATAGTTATTGTTTTATCATTTATTTTCATTTCGTATTTTATTTAAATAAGACGTATACTATTCAAATTTTATTATACAATAAGTGATTTTATGCCTTTAAAACACCTTGGATTTTTACTTTTTCCAATAATTAAAAGTTTTTGTTTTTCAGTTCCAGTCATATTAGAACACACCATCAAAGTAACTCGTTCTTTACTATGCTTACCTCCGAAACATTTGTCATTTTTAAAAGTTAACGTTTTGTTTGGTAAACATTTAAAAAATAAACCTGTTTCATCAGCGTTAAAAATATCTTTTGGATCGAATTTTTCAATTAATTTTGGTAAAACATTTAATTTCCATGTATCACAGTCATTTTCTTGAACATCAACACTTTCATCACAAATAACTTTAAACACAACATTATGTCTCGATTTAAATTTATCTAACCATCCAGAGCTTGCACGAAAATCTATAAAACCAAATTTCTGTGCAAAATAAATTGCTTTTTCTTTGATTAACGAACCTGATATAGGTAGATTGTTATTTCGTATAAAAGTCATCCATTTTAAGAACAGCGTTGTCAACTTCTTCATAGACACAAATTTTCATTCGTTTTCTATTGGTGAGGAGAGAAGAATTTTGCATTTGTTTGGTGATATTTTCACGGTTTTTCAAAATGGTTGATAGTGAACTTCTCGGAATACTATATTTTGTGGCTATGTATTTTTTTTTAACACCTTTATCGACTTCGTTTAAAATTTCAAATTTATCGGCGATAGATAAACATTTACGTTTCGACATTTTTTTTTGTACGGACGAAGAGAAAACGAAAGAAAATTCGTAGTAAACTCGTTTGCATCAATATTGGAACTGAATTACTGCAGTAAAATTAATCAGTTTGCCTACCTTCGATGTCTTATCTTTATTGGATACATTGTTCATGTACAATTTTAGAACTAAAAATTTGATAGTGACAACATTTACAAAAACCAGTTTTTATCGAATAATTATTTCGTTATATAGAAACATCAGATTCGTTATTTTGAGATAAACTTACGTGTAATTAACACTGAAGGTCATAGTTCTTTAAAGTATTTCGTTAAATGGAAGTTCGTTATATAGAAGTTTCACTGTATTTACATTATGTGACTGTAAATACTGTTAACTACTTGTAAATCAGTATTAAAAGGTACCTATATTACCTATTTGTTATTTATTTACACATAACTCAATTATTCTATTTGACTTTTTAATTCTAATAATAATAAATACTTGACAAAATTGTTCATATTTAATACTTTAAAACTCTGTGTGTGACATTCATATATCTGAACATTTACCCTTCCACCCCTCGCCTACTATGGCACTATCCTATGTGAATCTACGTGGAAAAGAATTCGAGTTGGTGAATCAGTGAGTAGGTGCCCTAGTCAAACAAAAACTGAAATTACGCCACTGACTAATAAGTAATAATTTAATAACTACCGAATACATTATTTTGAACATCTATTTATACATACCTACTATAAAGTATATATAACCACTAAATTGGCTTACGCCTTACAGTAATACAGTAACCTTCTCTAATCGCCATTTTTATTTCATAATTAATCAACGATAATGTTAATTTTATAAGTTTGTGTTGTATTAAGCCAATTTTAATAATCTACCTATTGATGGCTGAATTAAAATATGTTATCATTAGCAAAACTAGGAGGCTAAACTTTAAGATTAGCCAATAGCCAAACATTACAATAACGGTTTTAAAAACCAATTTAAATATGTTTGATTGCATTTTCATAAGTTTAAATAGGGATATATTAATATTTACATTTAAAATACCACCGGAAAAAACTAATTACAGAAAAATAGAAATACGTAGGTATACAACACTATTTGTTGTTGTAATACAATGTTTGTTTGTAAACAACTGAAGTTAGAGTTTTATTCATAAAAATTAGTTTATAATTATTCTGTTGTTATAAATTATAACGTTCCTAAGTTAAATAGGTACAAGGTTTGTCATAAATTATTCATTCTGGAATTTTGAGTTTCTATACAATGTAGTTAAACAAAATAAACTTAAGAACATTGCAAAACTTACTTTTACTTTTTAAATTATTTTATTTTATACATTTTTACTATAGTAATAATATCATTTTCAATGATATTTTAACTGGTTATAAACAACATTTTTAACAAGTATATTTTTTATTAAGTGAATACTGTTATTTACAGGCTGTAACAGAAAGAACTGCAGATAGATATAATTAAATAACTTTGTATAATAACCTATTCTTATCAATTTTTTTTTATTTTTGTTTAAACATTTTATGGTTGTTAATCATATATAAAACCCGTAATATTTATAAAACCAAAAGTTATCATTACGAAATTACTTGGTATCATAAACAGGTATTCCATAAAAAATGTCCACCAGTTTGATCGTACAGTTGTCAAATGAACCATACCAGTTTCTGGTTTTCCACCTCCACTAATAACATTTGAAAAACTGAAAGAGAGAATCGATTTAATTAAATTAGGTATGCTTAGCCAGGGTTTGGAAAAAAATATATCGTCACTAGAATTTTTTTAACAACGTATGAGATATTGAGTAAACTAGTTATATTTTTCTTTTCTCAGTATTAGTTACCTCTATGACTGTCTGTTTAAATCCATTATTCATACGTATTATGATCTAATATTCTATGAATTTGCCATCATACTATTATTTTAAATTATTAATTATTATAAACTTTCTACTATACGGTATACATTATAATATAATTTGTCTACTTATTACTTATAAATTATTATTATTACTATTATAGAATCCAGAAATAGTGGAAAATACTTGTCTTCAACAGTACAATATACGAGTAGTAGGTCCTTATTTAGAACACAAATAATATTTGATAATTTTATGACTATAATTTTTTTTCTGTAACAAATAAGAAAAATTTACTCTTCTTAAATACTATTAGTCACGATTATCAAGATCAGGTACTTATAAATTTCAATTATGTTTACGCTTTGCAGTCTGTACTTGTATTAGATTTAAACTCATATACAGAGTGTAGTAACTTACATGTAGCTGACAAATGTTATTAGGTATTTTATTATTAACTAATCATGAGTGTCACACTGTGTAATGTTCTGTATGTTTAGTAAAAATATTAAACATATTAACAGATATTATTCAAGTTGATTAATGATATTTCAAACTTATTTCACGACATATTATATGAATAAAATGTAAAACAATAAATTACATAGCGATTATTAATTTACTTTAATTATATGTATCTATGTAAAAAATTAAAAAGTATATGTTCCACCCACGGTTTAAGATCTGAATGAAATAAATGGTTGATGTTAAATCACAGTATGACAACTACACATAGATTTAGGTATAAATTCAATATAATCGTTTAGTACTTTAAACTCTTGAATTTAATCAAAATATAGACCACGCTCAAATTACAGTTCTAAAGACTGTAGCGGCTGGTATATTGATTTAATAATTAATTAATTATTTAAATATAGTGTAGTATAAATTAATTTATGAAATTCTTTTAGAAATGTAGAGGCTGAAACGTTATCTCCGAATTAATCATTATTCAAATTCAATAATTTATCATTGAATTTAAATTAAATATATCAACCACAGAAACACACTTAATGACGAAGGATAGGTACGTACGCTCAGAAATAGACACTTATCATATTATTATAACAAAGTAATTTCCTAAGTTTTTAATATATGTATAATTTACTCGTATTAGTTTTAATTGCATGTTAAGAATTATACATAATTTTTAATTACCTATAGCATGTTATAATTATAAAATTTAAATATAAAAATCATAATTAGATGATTTCGTGTTGGTTTTTTTTTTTTATAACTTAATTTTTGTTTTTAAATCAACAGTTTATAGTTTAGAAATGATTCTAAAACAAAATTAAGGCAATGGCACGAATGTTTAACCGGCCTTCGAAATCGACATTTTACAAAAAAAATACGTTTGCACGTTTTTAGTACGTCATTATAATTTAAATGTTTGCCTTTACTTAGAATTTAATTGATGTTAGTACGCTGAGAAATCAATTTACCGCAGGGGAAGGGGCTGGAGAAATGTTAAAATAATTAAATATTTTCAATAATAATAACATTAGTATATGGTATATTTATTTATTGGATACTTTAGCACATAAACATTGATAAAACTAAAAAAAAAATGTTCATGTTATAGAGACACTTTAATTTAAAAACCTTATGAAAAATATTTTTTTATAAATTATGTTTTTTAATTTATTTATTATACTATACAAACATACTATCAATTATCTATATTTAAATCTTATAAAATTTAAATTAAAAACTTTGGGTGAGTGATGAATTGATTTTAAGTGTTAAGTAATAAACGGTAGAAAGTGATAACTATTTCAGATGATGATGAAATTTACTTCGAAATGAAAATACTATCAAGCTGTTGCTACATAGATCAAATTTTTGATCTAATTTCTTAATCTAATATAACTATTGACGTATCTATTTGAAAAAAACAAAAATATTTATGAAAATGGACATTAATGTGGTTTTGTAAATTAATTGTTGGTCCAATTTCGTAGTTGGAAAAAACTAGATCTTTTTTAGCCAACAGGTTGGGTGGAAAAATTATTTTCCACCACCTCAAATTGCATCAAAAATTCAATTTTTTGTGTAGGTGTGACAAATAATATATTTTTATAGTTGGTGACTATGCCAAACCCGCAAAGGTAATAGATGTATACAATCTTCTACCACCTAATATAATAAATAATTTACTGTGAATCTGATATCAAAATAAAATCTGAGTATAGGAAAACAAACTCAAACTGAATATACATAGACAGAAATAAATTATAATGAACTTTTAATTTATTACATGTGAAACATAAGTTATGATTATTGTAATTGACTTATCGCTTATTTTGCTGGTAAATAATATCTGAACACTGTCTTTTGCCTTTTCATAATTTTGAATTGGGAGCAGCAGTAGTTGTATTCCATAGTTTGGTAGTAAAATTAGAATAATGTGTTGAATTGGGAGCAACAGTAGTTGTATTCCATAGTTTGGTAGT